CTTTTATCAAAGGAAAATCGTGTCATCATTTTTAGGAGGCGTAAGATAAATCATTTCAAATTTAAAATGAAATTCAATGTAAAATCTGAAATACCGCTGCATACGCACTGTGTTCTGGTAGTAGCTGTAGTCGCCCAGGTGCATCGAGTGTACGAACTGGTCGGTTATACGTCAAATACTAACCTGGCGAGCTTTGCTGTCAATTAGAGAGCGCTTCCAAAAAACAAGTAAACAACAGTGGCGCGTACAGAGGTAAAATGTAGTACATATATGGAATTTAGGAAACAAATTGGATTTATAATATATTACATTTAAAATAAATAGTTTATGAGAATAAAGGAATTTCTGTAGGAACAAGGGTGCCAGACCTGAATTGATCCCCTCGTCCCTTCATAATGTATAAAGAAATTATTCAATTTGTAAAACCCTTAAAAGCGTACTTCATTGGTTCCCTTGACAGACAATGATTTATTTACTTTGCATCGAATCCTACTATAGCACATAATCAATTTTGTGTGCATTTCCATGAGGCCATGAGAAAGTGTTCTTTTTTCAATATCACCTCAAATAAGGCTGAAATTAAACAAAAACGGATTTCCAAAATTTTTTTTTTTTTCAAATATTTCGAAAACTAACCATGTTAGCCTTGATTTTTTAGAGGCATAATGTTGGTCCTCTGATTACGCAACTTTGAAGAGAAGCGAATTTGTAACAGCCTGTATATCAATGTATTTCACACGAAATATGTATGAATGCACTGGTTAGCGACGTTATTATATCTAGATGAATGCGTTACCCCAGACCGACTCAAAAATTGTTTAAGGCAAACTCAATGTCCCTCAATCTGGTTACTACACATAAAATTAGAAGTGGGCATAAATAAAACAGACATTTGAAGAACACATATAGAATTATCGATGCCAAACATTGACAAATAACAAATATCAGAAATAGTATGAATGAAAATTATGAATTTTTATTATATGACCTTAAACCTATAGATATTTATGTAGATTCTAATTACTCAAATTTTTTTTATAATCTTGAAAAATTAATTATAGTCAACAATCTCCAAAAGTAAAACTATAAAGTAAATGTTATAGACACGAATATATTGCGAAAATGTTGGTTAGTGAAAAATAAACCTACAAAGAATCTTTTATTGATTCTTTTAAATCGATAAATACTCAACCGGAACAAAGAAGAATACTACTTTTAATTGTTATCAATATAAGAAGAACTAACTATACCTATGTGTGGGTTCAACTCATGCCATTCAAAAATTTTGAAAAGAACTTACCGTGTTCCAAACATGCAATTTACGAAAATATTTAGAAAAATAAGCATTACACACTGACCACAATATATTTCCACAGACATACATATATCTTAGATAAATTTCGTTACTATACAACGTCTGTAAATAAATTTACGAACATACACATTAATATAAACATAGTGTTGCTGGTGTATATATTATACTCTCCCTTTGCCACTAATATACCAAAGAAGTTTTGCTAAGTTAAATTTTAATTAAAATGCAGCAATAAACCAAATAAAAACGAATTAAATCAAATTCTGCTTGGATAATTTGGCCGCACCCCTCGACTTCTCGTCCCTGTTGGTGCCATATGGGTACACTTCCTTCTTGGACATCATAATGGTTTCACCTCCACCCGTATTCCTACTGATCTCTTCGAGCATATCGGATATTTCCGGTCCCTTGGCCTTGTTGACGCCTGCACTGGCGTGTCGCAGTTTATCGAATATGGCGTACTTCCTCTCGTCTTGGGGTCTGAGTATATTATTCTTCTTCATAGAGAAATAGATTAGTTCTAATATCCCTTGACTTCTCACCAAATAGTCTCTCTGGGCAAGCTTCTGCAATCTTTCTTTCTCTTCGGACTCCACTATTATTTGAGGATCAAACGAGCTGTTACCTTCGCTACGGATCGATAATGAGACACTTGGAGTCTTGCTCTTTGAAGAAGATGACGCCAACAGCGAATCTGACTTTATCTTAGGGCTAATGCGTTTGGAGGCCTCCAATTTTGCCTTCAAATGCATCTCGTCCCTAAAAGCGTTCTGAGCAGCTTCCCTCGCTCTACTCGAGGCTGTATCACTATACAATGAATTCTGGCCTTGATCGAAGTATTTAACGTAGTTATGTTCCGTGTCGGAACAGGGATAAACTAATCTAAACCCACCCCTACTAGCCATCTCTTGCTTGAAGTATTCCTGGAAACATTTCGAGTCACTGTTGGTTTGCACCTGGTATTCTTTATTCAGACCGTTCAACAAGCGTTCTCTTACCCGTTTTCTATCTTCACGCATTATCTTCCTCTTGTTGCAGTTTTCCAAGTTCAACATGGCGAACATGTCGCTCAACAAGGCTTCCTTCACTTCGGAGTCTAGGTCCGTATCTGTGTGGAAGCTTGGGGAATGGTTCACTTCCAATACCTGTGGATTCAGTCTCTTATCGAACAAGATATCGATGCCTAAGAGTTCACAACAAGCGGGTAGGACGTCGTGGTTGGGAAAACAAGCTGCATAGCTGTGCTTTAGTACAGGATAAGCACTTATCACTGTCTTAATGATCACATCATCAATTCTGTACCATAAAGATTCGACGTCGTGCTTCAAATTCTTCATGTAGCTGTTGAACCATGACAACTTCCTTTTGCTGCCGCCTTCCGTGTCTTGGTTGTAAGTCCTGCTATGTTTGTTGACCGCGTAGTTCGTTAAATGCATGAAGACGTTGGTTATATTCACACCGTTAGGTTCCTTGTACTTACTAGTCGCGAAACGCACTAGCCCTTCCTTGTATATGTAGATTCTCAAAGGGTCGCACGAGGTGATGAGCGTGTACACTCTCAAGTCAAACTTGTAACCATCTATGAGGAAGGGTTTCGTTATATACACTTGACAGATGCCGCGATCTATAGGGCGAATTTCCTTCAATGATTTCGTGATCACTATGCCTCTGCCTTGGCTGCCCGCATCTGGTTTTAAGATGAAAGTTTTGTTTTTTCTTAGACGGCTGTAGGTTATGGCCTCGCCTAGGTCGGCAGGGAAACACCAGGTCTTGGGGAAGAAGCTGTAATCCCTAGGGAAGAACCTTAACATGCGATTCAAATTTCGGGCGAGGAGATCCTTCCTACAGATCTCTAACATACCTAGAAAGATTGTTCAATATAGTGTTATTGCAAATTGTTCAGTATTAAATACATTATATATTCAGAAGTGCTTAAGGGTTAGTTGCAAACCAACTTTAGTTGACAGATTTGGAAAGTTTTGGTTGCCTTCTGCCTAAAGGGTTTACAAAGCAATCTTTTAAATTAAATTGGATTTAATTTATGTTTATTGTAGATATTTGAAGCTACTCTTTGAACTGTTATTAATTGAAAAATAGTAAAACATAATGGTGAAATTTCTTCAAATTATCTCTCTTTGACTGTCAAATGAGCTACTACTTATTTTCCCCGGTGGCGGTGTTTTAATGTTAGTATTAAACGTGTAGGTACCTGGAAAATGATTAATCTTTTGAAATCTCTTCATTTCCTTGCACCTGTCAACAGTGATGGAAAGATCTGTCCAGTACAGGTTCCAGTTCTCTCCTTCAGAAACTTCCTTGTATCCAAACTTTTGCGCGACTCTCCTAATGACATCGTATCGACAGTGCGTCAGACAAACCGATATAATCCGTTTCTTCTTTTTACCTTTAAGCTTCACGTTGCTGCTCTCTTTTTTCTCTATGTTCTCCGTGCGATCCACATGTTTTATTACTATACTGTGTTTTTTCCTTGGTTTCTCGTCGTCAGATGACCAGTCCGAAGAGTTACTATTTTCGTTCAGAGGTATGCTGGTGTTTGATTCGCTAGCCATCAAGAGAGAAACATTTGATTCAGTGGGGGAATGTGAACATTTTTGAAAATTTAACCTGACATGTCACCGGCAAGTTGACAACCACAATGACACGTCAGTCTAACGTCCTTCGTTGCTAAACGTCATATTCTAATGCGAATACTTACCTCATAAGTAGGTGCTCTTCGAGTTTGTTGGAAATGCCTTCAAGATTTTATAGTGTTTTTCTTTCTAATCTCATAACTTATGGGATATAGACATTAGTATTGAAGAGAAAATCATTAGTAGATAGTATTTTTTTTATTTATTTGAAAACATTATAAATTCAAGACACCCTAGACGACATCCAGAGTATCTGGAAACCTGGGTTACTATAGGCCAGGAAAATAAGCAGGGAAATGACCATTTCGCGACTTTTTGTTTCGGCAAGCTGAATTTGTCACTATAGATTCTAAATATTATGTACACTAACATATTAGTTTCCACAGTTATAAAAATGGGGGAAGATTGTTTACAGGGTGGTTAATTGTATAATTTTTACGTAAATTCACGTTTTTTGCTTACAACTTTTTTCCGTTCATTTCCACGAGAAAACAATACAGTACTTTTTTTTCTTCTTCAAAAGACCTACAAAACTACCCCTCGAGCGTCAAAAAATATTGATTAGATCAAAAGTTATAAACAGAAGAAGTTTATTTATTACTTTTGAATTAAACATTTATAAACTGCGTTATTATTACCAGAACGTTTTGGCATCGCATCCTCTCATTCCTTATCACTGTCTAACAACTCACACGAAATCTGGAATCGGTAAGTTGAATAGTTTACAAGTTATGGCCTTATAAACAAATTAACTAATTATTAGT